CCCCCCCCTTCAGAAAAATCCAAACAAACACTCGGTGTGCTGCAGAGACAATGTGTTTAGTATGATCTGTAAAACAAGTGCAAAGTGGCTCATGGGTCTTCAGATAACTTAAATGTGACTGGAGTTTTGATGATGTGTTATTTCTCTATATTAAGAAACATTGAGGCTGATTACTGTTTTCACATTCCAAAATATGACATTTTAAACATTTCCCCCAATAAAATATTTGATTTATTATAGCATAGTGCCTTTTTAGTTTTGTATTCTCTTTGCTGCTTTTACTGTTTTTTCTCTATTTTAAACTGCATAGAGAGAAGTCAGCAAATCTCATTGTACATGAGTATAACGGCAATAAAGGTCTGCTGATTATATACATTCTATGTTTAGGTTGTGGTTAAACCAAGCACCAGAACTCACACATAATATTACACTTTCATTTGAATTCAGGCATTATCATTTTACCTGCTGTTATTCAATAGAAATACAATTTAAACGCTTAACGCCACAGATCTGCATGATAAAACACGTTTGAAAGTAGAATCTATTCCAGACACTAGCCAAATAAATCCCCGACAGCTTTTAAAGGACATCCGGGATCACGAATGTAAAGAAAGTGTTCTTGATGACTCGTTAATAAGAAATAAGTCATTCTAAACCCAACGCAAACACTCACCCTTCCCGCCTAATTTACACTCCAAACAGGTTTGTATTGACTCTTGGCAGAGTTAAACAGAGATGCCGGGCGGGATAACAATGCTCTCATTATTAATCAGGATGTTGTCCTTTCTCATTTCTCCTGCGAGTCTGTGTAATGGGTTAATTGAACTGTAGGATGGAGAGGGGTTAAAGCAACACTGGAACTGTATAGGTTCATTAGCTGGTGTAACTCGATACTAAAGAAAATAGCAGCAACTTTGATGTGTTTTCCTGAAATAAATACTGAGGTCCCTGCTGGGAAATCAAAACTCACCGAAGAAGAATGCAGATCTGAGGCGTTTATGTGTTCCTTAAAAAGAAAAACAACGTGTCTGTGCGTCAACTGCAAGAACACAGTCACTGGGAAAGGTGGAATGTAGTAAAGTGCTCAAGTTTTTTACTAAAGTACAATAATGAGGTGTACTTATGCTGTATTTTCATTTTATGCTACTTTATACTTCTTCTTTACATTTTAGAAGACAATGTTCTCATTTGTATTCCACGACTTTAACTGACAGTTTTAGTTACTTTACAGATTTAGATTAGCGTATAGAAAGTAAATAGAATTACAAGCTGTGACAGACACATATCACTATAATCCAGTAAAATAACATTGTTGTGAAATGGGACATTACACATGATGATGAGTAGTTTTACTGTTGATACTTTAAGTATATTTTAAAGCCGATACTTGATTACTTGAATAAGATGTTGAATGCATGACTTTTACCTCACTACGCGTTTTTACGTCAACTTTAAAAACACATTGATACTGGGAAGTGTTGAAATGTAGTGAAGTAGCCTATTAACTCAAAAATTCTAGTACAATTGTGAGGTATTTGTACTTAAGCTGAATATTTTTATTTTAGGCTACTTTATACTTCTACTCCACAACATTTTTCCAGCGAATATTTTACTTTATTCATTTCATTTTTTCAAAATAAACTAATAAATCAACAGTGACATAAATGTAAGGTCAAGATATCCACGAGCAGTAGCTATACAAAGTAAATAAAATGACCCACCAGCTGTGATAAATATAGATTCATCAATAAGTGAAATAATATATGAGATTCTGAAATGGGCAGGGTGGATATAGCACTCCGATCCTGCACTCAAGCAAAATAAATATTATAGTCTTAAAATACTTGATTACAAGCAAACATCCCAAATTCTAAATGTTAATTAGGTAAAAATTTTATTTGAAATATAAAAAGGAAAAGTACTCATTCTGCATATTGGCCCATTTCAGTATCATAAAGTATTGAGGTATTATCAACTAAAAGTATTACAAGTATCAAAAGTAAAAGTATGCAGAATAGCTCTTTCATTATTAAATAATATTATATTATCCTGTTTTTCATATTTACAAGCATTTGAATCTTTTAGGTTGTCGATGTGGAGTAAATTTTCGAGACTTTTTATAATACATAGTAGTGCATCATGTGAGCAAACAGAGGAGGGAGAAGTACTCAGATTATGTACTTGAGTAAAAGTAGAAGTACTAGAGTGTAGGAATACTCTGTTACAAGTAAAATTCCTGCATTCAAAAGGTTACTCAAGTAAAAGTATAAAAGTATTAGTATCAAAATAAACTTATATTACCAAAAGTAAAAGTACTCATCTGCAGATTGGTCCCATTTCAGAATAATATATATGATATGTTTTATAATTATTGATCATTAAAGTGTTATCAAAGCTGGTAAAGTAACTAAAGGTATTAAATACATGTAGTGGAGTTAAAGTACACGAGTTTCCTTTGAATTATAGTGGGGTAGAAGTACAAAGCAAGTACTCAAGTAAAGTATCTCACAATTGTACTTAAGTACAGTTCTTGAGTAAATATACTTAGTTACTTTACACCTCTGTGAGCAAATCATATGTTTTTGTATATTAAAAGCAATTAATAACTGAGTGTAAAACAAATGTAGTGGCGTAAAAAGTACAACATTTGCCTATGGAATGTAGTACAAAGTACTGTAGCATAAAATGGAAGGCACATCAAATGATGTCAAAATATACTAAATTATGATACTTGAGTAGATGTTTTTAGTTACATTCCACCACCTGGTGTCAAAAGAAGTATTTACTTCACTAAATGTGCCATGGCGAGTACTACTTTTGATACTTTGAGTATATTCTAAAGCAAATACATACTAGTGTACTTTTACTTGAATTATCTTGAATGCAGGACTTTAACTTGTAACAAAGTATTGCTACTTTTACTTAAGTATAACATTGGAGTACTTCTTTCACCGCTGATACTGGGTATTTGACAATTATTTATGAGGAATATATTATTTTAACTCCTTTAAACCTGAATACACTTTAAGGTCAAGTATAAGATACAGTATGATCAGAATGCCATATTGGACTTTTTATTTAAATAAGAGAAAATGTATTCCACAGCCACGTTGATTATTATCTGGCTTGTGTAATACTTTATAATAAAAAATGCTTTCTCTATAACATATAGGTGGTGTCACCTGTTTGGTGACACCACAAACTGTCAGTAAGGCGCTTCACCTGTCTCAGTGATAATGTTGGTGAATCAGCTGCCACCTCTTAAAAAAGATCAGCGAAAGACCTCGTGCCACCTGTGTTTACTCCAACAAACAGTCCCCCCTTTTAAATTAGCATCGTAAAGGACTTCGCCAAATCAAAACCACGTTTTAGCAAACATACAGCCTTCTTAAATTAAAGTTCATCCACATGCTGTCCTCCATCCAACCTCGGAACGAGCTGGCTTATTTGATTAACCCCCGTGCGTAATTACAGCGTGCGTCGTCTCCATGGTTTGCCATTTACTCAGTCATATCATTTGCACATAGAAGCGCATTAAATGTGGCAACTAGACCCAGAATTATGTGGGGCGAGCTGTGGCGTTCCTGCTTGAATAATGCTGCATCCTGCATTTCGGTATCAGGGTGCAGGAAATGTCTAGACCAGAATAAACCCAAAGGCAAAACATAAGATAACACTCCTTTCCCATTAAATCTCGTTACATTTCTCACAAACAAAGGATGCTCATGTGTTCCTGACAGTAGTGTTTTTTGTCAGCTGAGCTTTAATAGACAAAACAGTCCCATTCAGAGGCCACCGGGTTTGCAGTGGCCTGCTGCGCCATAATGCTCGGCACAAGCCCTCCACTGCCTGCCATATACGGAGTGTTTTTTGTTAATATTAGCGGGCCTACTTGAGGGGATGTTTATAATTGGACACGTGTTTTCCCCGCTTTTTTGTCGTTTGGAGATCAACTGATTCTTTTGTAATGCGTTTTTAAAGCAATGAACGATCCACAAGGAGGGCTAAAGTGTTCTTAAGAGCTCCCTTTCAGCCTTTAGAATTGGCCAGAGCAACCCGCCGAGAAACATGGAGGCCCTGGAAGTATTTAATCCGGGAGATGTGCCCATGTGGGTGTCACACGGCAGAGATTCAGGCACATGCAGGTAGACAGTATCGAGAATCTGCTGTGTGCCTTCAGAGACTGGGAAAGATCCTATCATTTTAAATATGGAGGACGTGCTTTTTGACTTGGATCAGGATGGCACTACTGATTATGCATTTTGGGGACAAATGGACCAAAACTTCCAGTTCCAGAGCCAGCTGGACACCTTCCTGCTGGACTACAACTCCGCCGGCCAGCTCTCACCCTGGTCCAACTTCGGCAGTCAGTCCATGTTCCCGGACGCACAGCTGACCTTAACCGACCTCGACGTGCAGTCTCCGGGGGAAGACGCGTGCGCTGAAGGGGAAACGTCCTCCATGGACGACCCCCTGGAGGTGACCAAGCACAGGGCGCGGCGCCTCTCTTCTCACCCGCCCTATAAGGTGCAGCGGCACGCGGCCAACATCCGCGAGAGGAAGAGGATGCTGAGCATCAACTCCGCCTTCGAGGAGCTGCGCTGCCACGTGCCCACCTTCCCCTACGAGAAGCGGCTGTCCAAGATAGACACCCTGAGGCTCGCCATCGCCTACATTGCCCTGCTGAGGGAGATCCTCGTGTCGGGCTGCGACCCCAAGTCCTACGTAGACGACTGCATGAAGAGCGGCTACAAGAATCACACCAACGCCATCTGGAACACAAGCGGTGAGCTGATGCCCTTCATTACAGCCCATAATACAACTATCATTAGCTCATGATGGAGATGTAAGGGGCAGACATGATCAGAGTAATGCCTGACTTCAGACCATTTAAATGTGCTGACAGGACTCAGAGCATTATCTGCCTTTTATTTTAATAAGGTAATTCATACAGGTTATTGTAGAATGTTTGGAAATTGTTTCAAGAGTTTCTTCACTCTCCAGAATATGTCGTTTAGGCCTACCATATTCATTTAAAGAAAAACGTTCTTTTGTGTGTTTTTAGATCTGATCAAAAGTACAACTAATTATGTCCGGAGAAATAAGACAGAATTATAAGATTAAAGTCAGAATTCTGAGAAAGAAAAGCCATGATTCTGACTAAAATCTCAGAAATCTGAATTTTCTTTTTCTTTCACTTTTGGTCAGATCTCCAAAATAAATCACATGTTGCCCTAATTTTCTTTCATACACAAAAGTCCTCTAACAAACACACTAAAATATAACATACCTGATATTTAAAGCCAAATATAACTAAACATCAATATGACAGAGAATATGATTAAAGTATTTCTGATTCGGACATAATCACACAACAAATAGCTTCATGTACACCATGGACACAGAGACAAGTGCTTAGTTCACCCTTAGTCGTTCATTGAGAAATTATGTTCGTCCAGAACAATAAGAAATACTTGTTTTTCACAGTTATTGACTTGAAGCAGCTTGCTGTGTGTTTGCTGCTTCCTTTAATCCCCAGGTGTGTTTTCGTCGGGCATGAACCTCATTTGACAGAAACACAATCATCAGTATTCTTACTAGCTCTATGCCATTAACTAATTCTGTGGGAATCTGCTCTGAAGCCTCTTTATGTGAGTGAGTGTGTCCCCATTCTCTACCTCCAGCCCTAGGACTTGTTAAACAGTCATTAAAATGTAACTAAACTTATGTCCTGTTTTTGTCTCCATCTCTCTTTTCCCAGACCTGACAGCCCGCCTCTCTTGGATAAAGTGGGATTAACTGAGGAACATGGGGGCGCCCTGAGAGGGGAGATGGCAGCGGGGGGAGGTTCAGATTGGTTTCTCTGTCCCTCTCTGTCTACATGTCAAAGAAAGGCGTTCGTCCCGCATGACCGACATCTGCAGACTTCTCATCGGGTCACACACCTCAGGCTTTTCTAAAACCTCACCCCCGTCCTCCGTGGCTTTTAATATTCTAATTTATTGTTGACTGGTTAATTGAGAGCCATTGTTTCTGAGGCCAGGGGGGGGGCATTGTTTGCCCAAATAGATGGCACTTGTTCCAGAGGGAGAGGGGCACACTGGCATGAGGCTGAATGGACTTCCTGAGGGCTCATACTTCTGCATGAAGCAACTGAAGTGTTTTCTGGACTCGCGCTCATTAGTGTGCGAGGCAATGTGTTAAAAAGAGCCTTGATCATGTAAATGAGACAATGGGCGTGAGAAACAGATCAGCGCGATGTGTTTTAGCATGTCAGGTGCAAACATGGCAATAAGGCTAGTAGTGTTTCATGTGAAAACTCTAAAATCTCTTGTTTTATTTATTTATGTATTTATTCCTTATTTTGTGTATTTATGGAAAAATACTTTTTCGGACACGTATTTTTTAACATATGTTGATTATTTAATTTCTTTTTATTGTGTATTGTACATTTTAAGCTATTTCATGCTATGTAAAAGTGTATTTATTTCTAAAATGGATCAGCACAGAAAAGTTGATGTGATCATTTAATGTATTTGTGATCAATGATCATTTCTCAGGATCATAAAAAGCAATTTGTCTCCACTTACATGTCATCTCTCTCTGTCCCTGATTTCTCTTCCTGATAGTATTATGGATAAATACAAAATGACGCTTTGGATGAATATTTGTATTCATACCAGGGGCTTAGTTAAAAGATATCCAGGTGTCATTCCTCAGAGGGAGCTGAAACTACTGCTGCACTATAACGGCATGACGGATCAACTGCTGGCTGAAGTCTGGTCACTGTTAAACAGGAAAAAGGTTAAACAAAAGTATAGAAATAAAAACTGCAGACAACATAGTTTAAATGATCACATATTTCAATAAATAACTTCTAGGGGACATGAAATTTGACTTGGCAGTGGTGATGACACAAAAACAAAACTATACCGAATGCTTCTGGAGCTATTTTAGAATTTTCTACAGACATTGGTGGAGAAAGGATTCACTTATCCTGTTAAAAGTAAAAGTCATGCAATGAAAATTATCTTCATGTAAAATTCTGTATCTAAGGATAGCTTACGTTAAGAAATGATTGCAGAAACATTTCCCATGTAACTGTTATACCATTTCTACTTCATCACATAGATTTATGACTACTATTACTACGACTAGCCTACTCGTGAATTAATGTTTACACAGGATCCAACTCTAGTTGGTCTCCAAATATACAAGACATTGTGTCACTTCAGGAAAGGTCAGGGCAGCACTCAGTTCATTAGGCTACATCATTTTGGGGAAGGAAAATAAATGGACAAAATGTCATGGCTTTGCATTCGGAAGTTGCTGAGATTGAGGAAATAATCAGTTTAATGAAAAGAGTTTCCCCATGCATGCCATATCTACTAATCTAAAAACAGTTTCTGATCCTCTCCAGATGACTTGATGTCATTATGATGCTAAATTCCATGGCTGATTTTGATTTTTTAACTGTTTTTTATAGCCTGAATAGTTTTTCTCAAAAATCTTCAGATGCTGCTCCAACCTCCAAGCATGAAGGTCAGATATATAAAGCAGGCGTAGGGATTCAACAACACACCCATTCTCCTTACAAATACTATTTAAGCTCCTCGAAGGCAACCCTTAGCTAACTAAAGTAGATTTACATTTAAAACACAGCCTATGGGGAATATAGAGATGGTAATATGGTGATGGTAAATAGCCTACAGTAGAGACACTTTACAGCTAATACAACAGCACAGATTGTTCAGAATATCAGTATGAGAAAAACGACACCCTCTATCCTTAGACCCTCACATCGTACAAGGAAAAACTTCTGGAAAACCCACAGTTTTAAAGGGGAAAAATGGGAGAAACCTCAGGGAGAGCAACAGAGGAGATAGATGCCGTGTATAAATCGAAGAGATAATACATTTTACAGCATAGGTAGTCCAAATGTTAGGAAATGCATGTGTCTGTAATAAGAAGATGAATCTACGAAGACGTCAACTACAATCCTGTGGGAGCCTTCAGGGAAGCAGCATGACGAGACCCAGGCAGGACCGCAGAGACAGGTTTAGCCACGACCCGAAGTCCACGACTTAATCCAGAACTCAGGATAGAGGATCCAGGACACAGGACCACAGCAAGAAGATCAGCCTCGACTCCGCGTAGATATAGACACAAAACAAGAAAACATTTGGCTGGGTTAATCGGAACAAGAGAATACACAGACACAGNGGGGGGCACTGCTACATTGTTCTTCATTATTCTTTCTTAGAATCTGAATGACCCCTGCAGATCTGTTTGATGCCCCGATTATTGATTTTTAAAAGCACTGTGAAACTTAATTTGCAATACATCATAGACACACACACACACACACACACACACACACACACACACACACACACACGTAATGTGTGTACTCCAGCAATGCACATTATAATGAATTTTGTAGAGAAGGTATTTGTCTTAGGTAAGGCTTGTATTGTCAGTTTTTAATTCACATGCCTCTCATTAAAAAAGCCCTGAAGGTGTTCATCATCTCCATCTTAATATATTCTTCACTGGCTCTAACCTCAAAACACACACACACACACACACACACACACACACACACACACACACACACACACACACACACACACACACACACACACACACACACACACAGAAGCATTCACATAAATACATACACATACGCACGGATCATACCTGCATAAGCACATGCAATAATATATTACCACTGCCATGCACCACATACCAAGAGATGCATACTGTCATCATTAAGTAACGCTGAAAGCACACACACACACACACACACACACACACACACACACACACACACACACACACACACACACACACACACACACACACACACACACACACACTCCCTCTTTGTGTTATTATTGCCTAGCTCCATCTGACTGTGACTAAGTGAAGAGCTGTCTTCATTTGTTTCAATCTGAACCACTAATGTTCCCAGAGCCGTAAGCTAGCACCATAGGTCACACACATTAGTCTGAATGTGTGTGTGTGTGTGTGTGTGTGTGTGTGTGTGTGTGTGTGTGTGTGTGTGTGTGTGTGTGTGTGTGTGTGTGTGTGTGTGTGTGTGTGTGTGTGTGTGCGTGTGTGACTTGGAAGAGATGTTTAAAGCAAAGCACAATCTTTACCCTGTTGTATTGCTACACACATCAGCATATTGAGGGACTATTTTCTCGCCGTTTTGACAATGCCACTTTTAATCTGATCTTTATGGCTCATCTGTAACTATATATATATATATATATTGCTATGAATATACAAGCGCTCTTACGAGCTGTTGACACAGAGTGTAAGTATTGGCAGTAAGTTGTAGGCTTAAAAGTGCACTCTGCTAAATGTAATAGATAAATATACTATACAATATTCAAGCAGAAATAATATCCAAATAGTAATTATATGCATTTTAGCTGCCTATCTTTGAACATTTATGTCATATAATTAAAATGGACCATGCAGTGTGGGCCTAAGGCTGTATCCATATGAGATTGTACGGGAACCAAAGCACTGAACTCAACTTATAATTACAATTCCCCTCTCTGTGGAAATCTGGGTGAAAATGCAAAAAAATATTAGCCAATATGATCTTAGGAGGGGCTCCGGGCTAAGTATTATGGGGACACTGCCTCCTTTGCTCCCCCTTAGGACTGACTTTGGTTTAGCTATTATTCATGGCCCGGTCTGAAATACGTTCTCCAGTTGTTCTCATACGTTCAAATTTAAGGATAATAGTTTAGTTTTCTGAAAGCCTAGACTCTGTTTATTTGAGATCAGATGTACACCCTGTGTCCGTCAGCCTGTACTGGAGTATTTCAGGGAGACACAGCTCGATGGGGGGAGGACGTCATTTCTTACAGGCTTTAAAAAAGGATCATGCAGGTAATATATATTGATGTAACTAGCAGCAGTAGTAATATATATAGAATGTAATAAAAGTATATCTAGATAGTGTTAATGTACTTAATAGATATAAATAGTGTGTGTGCACATAAAGATGATACGGACATCTAGTAGCATATCCAGCATTTATTGATGTCTATTTCCACTGAGACAAAGTATACAAATCAAGGTGTGGATATTTGCTTCCCAATTGGTTGTGAGAGGTGGGAAGCTCATGTTCAACTTAAACATCGTCAGTGGAAAATTCGTGAAAAATCTATAAAAAAATAATAATAATATCTATAATATTACATTTAATTAACATAGCACTTTTCAAGATAAAAAAAAAGACACATAACACAACAAATAGAAGATTACCTTACTGAACTGGAGGATTAAATGTCTGAAGAAGCCCAACATGTGTCTTTATCATGTTCCCACTGCAGGGGATGGAACAACATAATGATGATCTTGGTTTAGAGCCTGACGGGATTAATAATTAAGTTGATCCTGAGGGGGAGCTGGGTTTCTTTCTTTAGCTTGACCTCACTCATTTACGTCGTAATTTTCTCCAAATAAAGAAAGGTTAAAGTTACTCATTGTTTCAATTAGATTTTTAGCTTAAGGTTAATTTGTTGCAATGCATTGTAAACGGAGGCTTTTCACGTCGCGCTGCTGCTATGGCAACTCATTTTAGATACAGTTAGCACAGTTGAACTACTCTGATGTGTCTATCAGAAAGCGTGTGAACAGTGAAACCCTGAAGCAAAGGAGCGGAGGAGAAACACTTCCTGTTTTTACATGTCTCATGACACTGATACTAATGTGTACAAAGTATCATAAGGTTTGTATTTCAAATAGTATAGTGGGAGGGTCCTGCTTTGTTTACAAGTGTGAATTGAGTATGTTTTATTCATAAATAAACTCTAAATTATTTCTGCTTTATAATCATTGGAGGTGAAGAATATGTTTGGGGGGGAAGTTCATCGAGTAAAAACTTCCGACAGTTCTGCTCCATTTGTCTGTTCTGTTTCCTTTAAAGAGTCTGTCTGACATGCAGGCTGAACTCAACCCTGTGGAACAAATTCAAACACTGTTTTATTGTGGAATACAAACCTGCACATTCCTGCACCTGTCCTTTTTTGATATTAGAGGCAAAGTACCCACAAATACCCAGACTCCTCTCTGCTTTGCTCGTTCAGTAACCATAAATAGTCACACTTCACTCTACACTACTATCGTTGCTGTCATGAACTTGGAAACACAAGGTACAAGACTCAAATGCATGACCCTGGGTCAAAGGTAAAGTATGCGAAAAGTACTTTATTCCAAAAATAGGATGTACAAATAAGGATTGACACTCTTGACGAGGTGAAAAAGGTTTCAAAAAAGTCATAAAAGAAAATCGCTCACAAAGTGAGGAACAAAACTTACAAAATACTTCAGGAGCATAAATTAGGCTGGAGTCAAAATAACTAGTCGCTGGTACGCTGAATACTGGCATGGAGACAGGACAAGACGAACTGACACAAGACAAGGGGAGACTGGGGAATATAAACAAGAAGTAACTTGGCACAGGTGGAAACAATCAGGTGCAGGGCTGGTGCTGATGAGAGCGGGAGACACACGGATAGGGAGTCAAGGAACCTGGAATGAAACATAACAGGTGAGTGTCAAAATAAAAAATGACTACACAAAAACATGAAACATGACTAGACTCAACATTTTTGATGGGACACAACAGTTGCATTTAATAAAAAAAAATACTTTGAACACGTGTCTGATGTATGTAGTAAAGTAGGTTTGTATTTGAGTTGTAATAGATTGGTATGTTATAGTTTATTCTAATAAATGTTTTTATATATTGATATAGTGACTTATATCGATATATCTCATTCTACTTTTGATATGTTTATTTACACTTCAATCTATCTAACTATGAAGCAAGAGATATACTTGCTGTATGATGTACGTTTTTTATTTTATAGCCAGCGGGTTCAATTTATGTGAAAGACACAAAATTCAACAATATTCCTGTCACTCCTGCCTGGACTCATTGTGCCAGTTTACACACGGCTATGTGTAATGTGTGTACTCCAGCAATGCACATTATAATGCATTTTGTATAGAAGGTATTTGTCTTAGGTAAGGCTTGTATTGACACACACACACACACACACACACACAC